TTCGGCTTTTTTTAGTTTCGGTTTCGGTTTTTTTCAGTTTCGGATCGGCCGCTTTGGCTCGGTTTTTTGATTTTACGTTTTTTTTGCATACCCCTACTTCGGAGATTAGGAGCTTTGTGGGATTAGCAGGTTATTATCGGATAGTTTTTTAGGATATCTCCAAGGTTGTTGTACACCTCATTCGTCTAACAAGGAAGAGCTTGGATTATCGATGGGGCCATAAGTACCAGGCTACATTCGAGATGCTGAGACAGAAGTTATGTGAGGCCCCAGTATTGAGTCTCCCTGAGGGTGTCGAGGATTTTGTTTTATATTGTGATGCATCCATCACCGGGTTGTGGTAGTACTCATGTATAGAGGGAGGGTGATTTCTTATGCTTCCAGGCAGTTGAAGCCGCATGAGGTTCGGTATCCAAAACATGATCTGGAATTGGGGGTGGTGATGTTTGGCCTCAAGATTTGGCAGAACTGTCTGTATGGGGTCTGATGTACCATCTACACGGATCACAAGAGTTTGATATATCACATGGGTCAGCCAAATTTGAACATGAGACAACGTAGGTGGCTTAAGGTGGTCAAGGATTATGACTGCGAGATTTTGTATCACCCGGGGAAAGCGAATGTGGTTGCTGATAATTTGAGCCGCAAGTCGGCTAGTTCTTCTATTGGGAGCTTATGTATGAGGATTTCGATTGTTTCTCCACTACTATATGTTATTAGGGAGGCTCATGTCGAGGGAGTCATGAAGGAAAATTGGAAAAAATAGAGGATCAGGGGCGAGATTGACAAGTTTTCGACCGATAGTCGTAGATTATTGACCCAGTGCGGTTGAGTTTGGGTACCAGATTTTGGCGGGATCAGATAGACTGTGGTGGAGGAGGCAGATAAGTCCATATTTTCGATACACCCTAGAGCCAACCAAAATGTATCAGGATTTGAGACTTAGCTATTGGTGGCCCTATATAAAGAGGGAGATAGCCTGGTATGTTGAGAGGTGCTTGACCTATCGGACAGTCAAGGTCGAACACTAGAGGCCGCATAGCAAGCTTCAGCCTTTGGAAGTTCCCATGTGAAAACGGGAATAGATCATCATGGATTTCATCACCAAGTTACCTCGGACGGCTAAGGAGTTCGATGCGATATGGATGATAGTTGACTGTTTGACCAAGAGTGCCCACTTTCTAGCTATTCGGGAGAGCTCCTCGGCCGAGAAATCGGCCAATGTCTATGTGCACGAGTTCGTCTCTTGGCATGGTATTCCAGTTTCTATTGTATCTGATCGAGATGTTTGGTTCACTTTTCGGCTTTGGCAGAAGTTCCACGAGGAACTGGGTATGAGGTTACATTTCAACACTTCTCATCCGCAGACTGACGAACAGAGCGAGCGGACCATTCAAACACTTGAGGATATGTTAAGAGCTTGTTTCATAGATTTTGGTTGGAGTTGGGACTCTTACCTTCCCTTTGCTGAGTTTTCTTACAACAACAACTATCACTTCAATATCGGTACACCGCCTTTTGAGCTTCTTTATGGGAGGAGGTTTCGTACCCCATTTTGTTGGGGGGAGGTCAGTCCTAGGGTTATGGGAAGGACTGAGATAGTCCTTCAAACGATGGAGCTTATTTAGCAGATCAAACAGAGGTTGTAGATAGCTCAGAGTCGGTAAAAGATTTATGTCGACAAACGTCGATATATGTTAGAGTTTGAGGTCGACGATATGGTTTTACTAAAGGTATCACCCTGGAAAGGTGTAATATGCTTCAGGAAGAAGGGAAAGTTGGTGCCACAATATATTGGGCCATTTCGAGTATTAGCCAAGGTAGGCAGGGTAGCCTATCAGTTGGATTTTCCTGAGGAGCTTAGTTAAATTCACAACACCTTCCATGTTTCTCGGCTTTGAAAGTGTGTGGCTGATGATTCAGTAGTGGTCCCTTTAGATGTATTCAGGTTAATGATCGTATGAACTATGTTGAGAGACCAATGATGATTCTGGATAGGAAGATGAAGGCCTTGCACAACAATGTGGTATCTTCGGTTAAGGTCCAGTGGTAGCATCGAAAGGGTTCCGAATGGACTTGTAAACCCGAGGGGCAGATGCGAGTGCACTACCTTGAGTTATTTACAGCATCAGACTTCGAGGACGATGCCTAATTCAAGTGGAGGAGAATTGTAACATTCCTTATTCAGGTGATTTACATTTTTTACCCTAAATGTGAAATTTATTTGCAAATTGGTCACTTTGGCTCTTTAAGTGCAAGGCGTTGGGTTTGTTAAGTATGCTGGATGTACTCAATGTACATTGGGCGTATGTAGCTGAAACCAAACCTTAATTTTTATAGTTTCGACCCTATTTAAGCATCATTATCTCTTTGATACTCCTTCATTCATCCACCTCCATTCCCTTTTTCGTCCCCCAAAAACCTTAATCTCCATTTGTGGTTTTTGGTGTCCACTTTTGAAGGAAGGAAGCCATTGGAAAGCAAGGAAGGAGCTCCAAGCTTTATAGATCTAAGTTTTACACTTCTTGAGCAAGCCCCAGAAGGTATAAAGTTCTGAACTTGATCATTATATCTCCAGATCTTACTAATTTTAGAAGTTATGTGCTTTTAGTCTCATATTCTTGGTCTAAGTGAGTATGGACTACTCTAGACCAAATGAGTTGTCCTCTTGGACGTTTTGGAGTGTTTAACATTATAAAATTGTGATCTTGGTCCCTTTCCTTTCTTTATGCATGAGATATGAGGCTTTGGTTTGCGTATTATGTTAGGTTTTAGTTATTGGACCCTTTCTAGCCTTGGAAAGTCATAAATTTGGAGATGACTTAGAACGTTATTTGGAACTAGATCTGTGTTTTGAATGTGGTGTATTAATAGATTAAGCACTTAATAGAAAGGAAGATATGGAAACCGAGTATGTTGTCCGTACTTGAGGGTACGTTTCACGTACCTGGTCAAGACCTCGTAATCTGGCTAAGAGAATGCACTATGTGGGGGGTAATAGTTGAGTACGCCGATCGTACTCAGTCCAAATTGAATCGTTGACTTTTTGACTTTTGACCTTTGACTAAGACTTTGAACAAGTTTGACCTAAGGGTATTTTAGGTATTTTGAGCTATAGTTTGAGTTTAGGTCATTGTTTGTTATATAGGTGACCTGTAGAGTTGAATTTCAGAGCACCGTTCTTTCCTACTATCTTTTCAGAGAGTGAGGTGAGTTTCCTCACTATACTTGGGGGTCGAAGGCAGCAATGACGACCCAGTAGATTATGTATCCTGATTTAGGATGTTGCTATGCAATAGTCACCTGTTAGGTTTGTATGATTATCTATTTGTTGGCTATATGTTTATCTGTTGCATATGTCGATATAGGGCGGTTGGGTTGAGGCAATACTGCTCTGTGTGGAAGCCAACAAACTCAGGAGCAAGTCAGACATCCGTTGTGGGCCAGAAAGACAAGCCAAACTTATGTTGTGGGCTCAAGAGGAATCCAGTCATGAGTTGTGGACCAGTAAGGCAAGCCAGACTCATGTTGTAGGATCAAGGGTAATCTAGCTTAATGGTTGTGAACCCAATATGCATGTTGTTATATGTTTGTGTGGTGGTATTTTGTGGAAGCTCACTAAGCTTTGGCTTACCGTTTATGTTTTATGTTTCAGGTACTTCAGATGATCGGGGGAAAGCAAAGGTGTGATCGTACACATCCTTTGGTGATATGTTTCGGAGATGTTATGATACATTTATTTTGGAATAATTGTACTTGATCTTGGGTTTTTATTCCTTGGTTTTTCTTGATATCAATGATTTCTCTTTAATTTAAAAAGAAAAGTTCTAGTGTGATTTTGGGATGTTATAGAAAATTACCAAGTTCTTGCAATACATAACTCTTTTGCAGATGATGATGTGACTTTTTCCATAATATTAACTAGGATCTGGTTAGGAAGATCTTCAACTGTATTGTATCGGCATATACGAGACATCCTAGTATCATTATAAAGTTGCAAAATCATGTGGTTTTTATCAAAAAGTTTAGGAGGAAACAAGGGCAACAGTAATTTCAAGAAACATGGTAAATGCACAGTAATTTCAAGAAAGAGGGGGAGAAACCATACCTGATGTTTATGGGAAGGATGAAAGATCTTAAAACACAAACTTTTTCAATAACCGTGGTTATTTTAAGATTAGAAGAAGATATTTTACAAGGTTTTTGAAAATTGATCTTTTGTTTATGGGGAAAATGAAAGAACAACTTTAATTTATTAGGGGTAATGATGATGTCAGTTAATTACCTGTTAAATGATATTTAAACAATTCCATAACTATTAATATAAACTAATAATGAATTATGATGGAAAGTGATTTGTACACAACAATTTTCCTTCATACACAACAATTTATGCTTTATAAAGTTTTACAATACAATATATTAAAACACAAATTTTTGGTCTAGATAAAGTAAATATCTTTTCGCTGAAATGTTTTGTAAGTAAGTTCATTGCTATTTTGAGATAAAGAGGAATGACAAATGGCTAAATTTTTTGATATGTTGGTTAAGACAAATGGTTGTAAGAAAGTACATTGCAATTTTACTATTAAGACAAACGATAATGTCTTGATTCATTGTGGGACTAAAGGTGTACAAACACATAACCATATTACACATTTAATTCCCCGCTTGACTGTTTAAAAAAATAATTCTTTTTTATTGATTTTTTTACGTTTTCTTAATTTGTTTATTTTTTTTAATTCATAATATTTTGTTAGAAGTGACTTTTATATATGGCCTTTACTTGTTGTATCTATTTTACTGGTTAGCCCAATGTCTACCTAACCCTCTCATTAGTCATTCTGTACCAAATTAAACATGCATTCCAAAACACACTCTAACTAACATAAATTAAAGCCATACAAAAATCAAAGAAACAAACCATAAAAATCAAAGCAAACCCCATTTATTCTTGCTTCAACCTCTCCAGTCACCCCTGCCTCTCTTCATTCCTCTTGTCAATCAAGTTGACGACTTTGGCCAACTTTTCCATCAACACATACATCCTTTCTTTTATCACTTATCAAGAAAAATGTTGCATGCATTTGTTTGAGAGATGATTTGATGGTAGTGACGCATTGAACCATCTCGTCATTCACTTCGTATTCATTGCAAGTCACAACGATCATGGAGCGTATATGAGCTTTCAATTCGAGATCATTCTTGATGTCGTTCTCAATGACTTTGAGAAGAGCTTCTTTGTCTACAATGTTTGATTTGGCAGCCACACCGTTTGATTTCTTGATTACCTGGATATGTGATGATCACACTTCCAAAATAGAGTTATATAAAACAATATGAGAGTTCATAATGAAAAGAATAGATTGATATTATATATATATATATATATATATATATATATATATATATAGAGAGAGAGAGAGAGAGAAAGAGAGAAAGAGAGAAAGAGGAGGGTTCAATTGAGAGAAAAAAATGTTGAGAATGAGGGAATCATTCTCAGCCACACATTTATTTTGTCGCAAAACACTTGGGTAAACCGACGAAAATGGGTAACGGATAAATGTATGTTTTCCAACCAAACATGTTTCCTTAAACTATGCTAATCATTACCTTAATATACGCAAAAACATAATTTTTTGTTTTTATTTTTTTTATTTTTTTATTTTTAAGAAGTTATTTTTATCGAAAAATTATTTTAAATATATCAAAATTCATAATTTTTTATTCTCTATAAACAGACATTCATATTGATATAGTTTTAAGGTAAAATAAGTTTTTTTTCGACTTTCAGCTCCCTTTATTCATAAGTTAATAAAAATGCATCAGAGTTTTATTACAGTATATTCGCTATTCACTTATGAATAAAACATATGTTTAACTTTTTTCCAGTTTAAATTTCATTCATATATGAATATAACACGTAATAAAGTTTTTTCTACCTAAAATATGTTATTTTAGATCATCTTTCGTCCCATCTTATATTATATATGAATAAAACGTGTATTAGTTGTACTCATATATTATATTCATATATGAATAAAACATTTATTAGATTTTTGTTATAGTTCATTTGTTATTCATATATGACTAAGTAGTATGTTAATAAAAGACGAAGTGTTTTGAAATTTTGAACTACTTATTCATATATTAATAACAAATGAACTGTAAAAAAATTATGATAAATGTGTTATTGATATATGAATATAACTTGTGAGGAAGACTAATACATGTTTTATTTATATGTGAATATAACATGTGACGAAAGTTGATGTAAACTGTAAAGAGTTTATTATATGTTATATTCATATATGAATGATACTTAAATTGTAAAAAAAATTAAGCATATTTTTTATTCATAAGTGAATAACGAATCTAAAATAATAAAAAGATGATGCATTTTTATTCACTTATGAATAAAAAGAGCTGAAACTATAAAAAAATTATTTTATCTTAAAACTATATCAATATGGATGTCTATTTAAAGAAAATAAAAAATTATGAATTTTGATATATTAAAAAAAATTCGATAAAAATAGCTCCTTAAAAATTCAAAAAAACGAAAAAAAAAACTATGTTTTGGTATATATTAAGGTAATGATTACCATAGTTTAAGGAAACATGATTTGTTGAAAAACACACGTGTATTCCTTTCTCATTTCCGCCAGTACGATGGAAGCTTTTGCGACAAAAATAAATGATTCGATGAGAATGATTCACCCATTGTCCATCCATAATTTGTTTTTCTTCATCATGATGTCCTCTTCTTCAAGCACATCAAAGATGAAGTAGCAAAAAAAAGTCATAGTGGAAAACTATGTAGCAAAAGTAATTGAATGATAAAACACCATAATGATCGTGGGAAATAAAGGAAATGGGGATTAAAAATCGAGCAACTACTTTTCAATGAACAACAAGAAGACCTGGACAAGCACAGATAGTCGTTGGAGCATATTCCACCTTTTGGAGCATGTAATGCTTCTTTGTTTTATCTGCATGAAAAAAATCGAGAGGAAGAATGAATTGGTTAAGAGGATTGAGAAGGCCATGAAAACCATCGATGACCAGACCTTGAGTCAAGATGAGTGTGTAGGAAACATATAGACTTTTTGTTTTTATGTTGTCATGTTTGAGTTTTAACTTTTAAATTATGCTATTTATGATTTTATTTTCCTTTGTTTTGCTTAATATAATATAAATTAATTCAATATAAAAATTTTAATAAGTTAAAAGAAAAGTGTTGAAAATATACGATCTGATTACCACGAATAAAGGTTCGGATACCAGTTACTGGGTGACAGATATATATATTTAAGGAGATAAGATGCGGAAAAAAAAAATAAGAAGTGCGGAATAAATATAAACTGGAAAGCTATAAATGACTGAAAGCTATAAATGAAATAAATGACAGTATTTAAATGACGTAAAGCTGTAATAAAATATATAAATATATAAATATATATAAATTCGGTTCGTCAATAAATTGACTGAACTGGTTTAGAATTGGACTGGATCTTAATAGACTGTGTCTCTATTTGTTCAAAGTTCAATCCGGTAAGTAACAATAAGTTCTTTTTATGTAACAATGAATTGTTTACAAAACGATACAAAATACACGGGTAATGTTTTTTAAGTATGTGGGTATGAGGTTTTTTAAGGTGATTTGATGAGGTTGAAGTGGGTATTTAGAGGGTGGTAGAAGGTGTAATAAGGTTGTAGTTTTGGTGGTATAAGGTAACAAAGAGGGTGATGTTGAAAGAGCTTTGGGTGGTTACGAATATAGATTTTCGTAGTAAATCTCTCTGGATAGCCAATTCTCTCTCGCGTCTCTCTGGGGTTTGCAGTGGTCAAAAAAATCGAGGAAAATTCCTGGATGTAGGTAAGGTCCTGAATAATTTGCGGTGCAAATCTCTCCCGTATTATCTTGTTGAGTTGTGCTCGGTGAATTTTTTCTTAACTTGCAAATTCTGATGTCGAAAAACAGCAAGGTGGTGATGGTTGTGGTGATTTGAAATGGTTTTTGGAGGAGGTTTAAGGAGGGTATTTGGAGGATGTTTGGAGAGTATTTTGAGGTTGGCTTTGTGTTTATTCTTCTGGAGTTGAGTGAGTAATGGGAATTATTACAAACAAAGACTAAAACACTTACACTTCCACTCTCACTCAAAACTCACGTATACATACATATATATATGCAAAAATGAATCAAAAGAAATCTTCCACTAGTGTTTGTAAATGAAAAAGAATTTGTTGGTGGATGTAATAATTGGTAGCACACATGGTGTTGGGTTCTTTTTGCTTTGTTCATTTCTTTCCATTATATATATATATATATATATATATATATATATATATATATATATATATATATACACTTGTATATATATATATATATATATATATATATATATATATATCCAATTGTGAATTGAATTTCCATTTTTGACCCTTGAGGTTTTTAAATTCTTGACAATTTTAGTCTTGATTTGTTTTGTCTTCAAACGATCAAATATGCGGCTATTTTTCCGTCTTTGCGTATTTTTGTATTTCATAATTAAGCACGAATCCATACAACCTGAAATAACTGATAATATTTGTTAGATAATATAAAAACAGTTCGTATTATTTCAGTGATGGTCACATACAAAAATAATTTTCAACAATTTCCCCCTATGTGATCATTACTGAAATAAGGACAGGTATGATATAATTATATTGACAGTTCTGAACTTTTGAAGATTCAAGATAAAATATTTGTCAATAGATAAGATATATAAAACATAGTGATTGTTTTGAAAGTTTGTGACTTTGTCTAACATATCTTATATAAAAGATTTTCAGAAATTTGTTTCCGAATCAAAGTCTCGGGTTCGGTTATCAAAGGGTAGTCATATATGTATCTAAAGGAATTTCCTTAAGATTTTATAGCATTATTTCTGACGACAAGTGGTCTAACAGGTCGATTCAGATGAACGCTCATAGATATAGCTCACACTTCACTTGGGTGTTTGGTTGTTCTGGCAGCAGAACAAGTTAATGATCACTAAAAATGAGTGATATCTCTCTCTGACGACTCACACTCACATTGGAGGTGTTCAGCTATGCTTTTCCTGTAAAGTCACTTAGTCTCATTATTAGATAATCAATCACATAAGACTGGTTTCGGCATTACTCAGTGGGTTTCTTCATTCATGCCATTAACGTTCACTCTCTCTCCGTCGGGAAATACATGTAGAGGGGTTTAGCAATTTTCATAGTGCAGTTTGCAACTAAGATTCTTTAGTGATGAAGGCTACAGTATCCCGGGAAATCCATTGTTGTTGCAGCTTCTTCTTTGATAGTATCCTGTTTGTTGATCAATATCGATTTATTGTAAAAAGATATTTTGTTTTAGCATTGAGAATTTGCTACATTTGAGACCTTTTTAAGAGTATTTGACTTGAGTGATTGAGATATCTTCTTTTGTGAAAAATGGTTAAAACAAATCGCGGGATTTTATGATTTTTGTTTTGAAATAACCATTTGGTTGAAAGTTTGTTTGAAAATACCAAATATAGAATATATATATATATATATATATATATATATATATATATATATATATATATATATATATATATATATATTTGTTTTGTTTGGTATATCTTTATTGAATCCATTTGTTTTCTTGTTGATTTGTCTTTGAGGATTGGATGTTGATAGATATTTGTTTTTTCTTTTGGTTTTCTTGTAAGGATATGTCGTTGTTTGCTTGATGGATCATGGGATCGCAAGTCTTCATTTTTAGTTGGCTTTTATCTAGGTAGGGATAGGTGGCATAAAAGACAGTTTGTCTAGTATGTAAGAAATGAATGTATCGTCCCTGGTCATTTTGATATCTAAGCAAAAATGAGACCGTGACAAGGTATAATTGGGTATACCTTATAAGCAATAGTGACACACGTAAGCTCACAAGAAATGATTTCCACAATGATTTAGATCGACGAGGCACAAATTCTCACATGGGTTTTTGTTTTCATCTGAACCTCCTAACCTTATGTCCCTTGATTGTTTAAAATCGTCAATAATGAAATAAAATCAAAGGAAATAAAGTTATATACATTATGAAAAGTAGGATATTTGAACCTTCACTCCAATTGAGAATCAATATGACTTAAAATCTTCATCGAGCATAAGCATCTGAAAATTAAGTCAAGAGAAGATTAATCACAAGGTTCTATAAAAGCTTATTATGGCAAGTCTTTTATTAATTTTTTTTTAAAGATTTGTTTTTCTGAATGTTTTTGGAAATATTGGTTATTTGAATGTTTTTGGTAATTTTTAAAAGGAAAGCAATTTTCAATTGTTTTTGAATTTTCCTTTTGAATGAAAGTAAACACACTTTTGTACAAACAAAAAGTAAAAGTTTAAGGATAGATGTTATCTGGATTTAACATTCCTAGACGGCCTAGGAAGTATTGAAACTTTGTTTCATCGAGAGCCTTAGTGAAGACATCGGCAATTTGATCTTCGGTGTTGATGAAGTGCAATTCGATATGACCCTTTTGAATGTTGTCTTTGATGAAATGATATCGAATATCGATGTGCTTTGTCATGGAATGGTGAACGGGATTGTGAGAAATGGCAATTGCACTGGTTGAGTCACAAAATATGGGAATTTGTGAAATTTTGAAGCCATAGTCTCGTAGTTGAGTTTGCATCCATATGACTTGCGAACAACAGCTGGCGGCAGCGACGTATTCAGCTTCTACTGTTGATGTGGATACACAAGTCTGTTTCTTTGAAGTCCAACTCACTAGTCTACCTCCTAGGAATTGACAGCTACCAGATGTACTCTTTCTATCTAACTTGCATCCTCCATAGTCTGAGTCGGTGAAAGCGTTCAGCTGAAAATCGGATTTAGCTGGATACCAAAGGCCAAGTTTGGGAGTGCCTTTTAGGTATTTGAAGATGCGTTTCACAGCAACTACATGGGATTCCATAGGATTTGCTTGGTATCTGGCACAAACACATGTAGAAAACATGATGTCAGGTCTGCTGGCAGTGAGGTATAAGAGTGATCCAATCATTCCACGATATCTTTTCTGATCAACAGGTTTGCCATTTAAGTCTGCATCGATTTTGTATCCAAAAGCCATTGGGGTTTTTGCGGTATTGGATTTGTCCATTGAAAAGCGAGTGAGTAGGTTTTTGACATAATTCTCTTGGTTGATGAAAATGCCATCAGTTGACTGTTTGATTTGAAGTCCGAGAAAAGTAGTCATCTCCCCAATCATGCTCATTTCAAATTTGCTCTTCATTAGATCTGCAAACTTAATACTCAAAGATTCATCAGTAGAACCGAAAATAATGTCATCAACATATATTTGTACGATTAAAAGATGTTTATTATAGATTTTACGAAAGAGGGTTTGATCGATTGAACCTCTTTTAAAACCTGATTCTTCGAGAAAGGTTGTCAATGTGGCATACCAGGCTCGGGGTGCTTGTTTCAAGCCATAGACAGCTTTCTGCAATTTGAAGCTGTGATCAGGAAATTTGGGATCTTCGAAACCTGGTGGTTGTTGGATGTATACATCGCGATCTAACTCTCCATGTAGGAATGCACATTTAACATCCATTTGGAATACTTTGAAGTTCTTATGTGTAGCATATGCAAGAAAGATGTGAATTGCTTCAATTCTGGCAACTGGAGCATATGTTTCATCGTAGTCGATTCCTTCTTGTTGTGAATATCCTTTGACTACGAGACATGCCTTGTTTCGACAAACGATTCCTTGATCGTCAGTTTTGTTTCTGAATACCCATCTTGAACCTATAACATAAACATCGGGTGGGGTAGGGACAAGATTTCATACGTCATTTCTTTCAAATTCTTCTAGCTCTTCTTGCATAGCTTTTACCCAGTTTGGATCTTTGAGAGCAGAATGTATGGTTTTGGGTTCAGTCATGGATA